CCTCAATTTGCAAGCTACACTACCTCTGGGACACCTAACCTGTGGACTGTGTCGCTATAATTTGAAGTCCCTTCAAGACCTGCTTCACCACACCATTGGAATTTACATCTCTTGAGCTGGGGACTGTCGGACCCTGTCATCTGGCTGACTGTTGGTGACCTGCCTTGCTGTTTGCTGCCTCTGCCCGGATAGCCTGAATTGCTCTACAGAGCACTACTCGGCAGCCCTCAAGACTTGAAGGACTGCCAGTGTCTCACAGCTGTCTCACGGGAGTGAGTTGCACTGAGCCATTTGTATTGCTTTATAATTAACTGTTTATTTTGTATGTTATATATATATGAATAAATATATATATATATAATTATTAGCGTTCTGCTTTTGTTTCTCTAAAGAACGCTGTCTAACACATGGCCCTACTCTCCTCATGAAGACATCATTGAAGATATGGGTTCTATAGCCAAATGTGGTAAAGCAATAGTGCCTGGCGATAAGGAAGAATAGTGTCTGAAGTCTTAAAGGCTTATCTTACAAGAAGCAACTGTAGAAATGAGGTGACAGTTAAATCCCTTGAGAGAAGTATGCCAACCTGTGTGATCCAAGGATTGTGAAAAATAAAATCCAATACTGGAGGAGAGAATGGTCTTAGGGCTTAAATCCTGAGCACCTACTGTGCAATCAAATGGATGACAATGAGAGTTCAAATTTCATTTGCATATATAATCCAAAGCCGAAGCAGGGAATAGTATCAGAGCTTAAATTGTGAGATTCTGGTTTGCAGATGGCTATGGATGACTGAAAACCCAAGATATATTTACAAGATCTACATAGGAAATAAGCCAGTGATTTCCTTCTATCCATAACTGAGGAATGGGAATAAACTGATTACCAAACAGAGGGTATTGGAGATCAAAATGGTAAACCTGACTTGAACAGTTAAAACCTTGTCACTTGATCCCCTTTCTGATACACTTTGGGCCTGAACTGGTTTTCAAGTCTTCTTGTATTCCCGCCCC